ATAAAAACCTTTATCATTCGGGAATATACAAATTCTGGGGTGATTAATGAATTCTAATGCCAAATATGAAATCACAGTTCTTGGAGGATGTTTGGTCCATTAATTTTAGTAGAAACAATTCTATAGAGAAGATATGACACAAAATGATTCTAAATGGTGCATCTTAAATCACAGTGCAAGTTGAATGTCTGTAATGAAAGGCAATGCTCCTGGCCCTTGAGTTTAAACTATTAAAATAGGCCTTTTTTTTTTATCACTGCTGTATTCACAGATTTAGCTTTTTGGCTGTGGTCTCCCCCAAAGTACTGGGTGTCCACTGTATCTGGGTAATATAATGCAGTAAGGGTTATTTTTCTTCAAAACTAGCAATCAATATCAATAAATTGCTGCAAAGTGAAAGAACAGACTGATTGGCCTCAAAGTGATTCTATATATACTGTCAGAAACAGGAGTTGGATTCTCACGTTGTCTTACAACAGAGAGTTACAGACTGCATGCTGTGACTTCATTAGTTATTAAAATCAGTGACACTTTGAGAAAGGTCATGAGTGTAAAATTAGTATGTAAATATGGGATATTTTTAACGGTACACATCAGAAACCAAATGCCCAGCTTTTAAGGGAACACACTAAAGGGAAAATATGCAAAACCAATTTGGATGTTTTGAAATATGATAAGGTGACAGTCAAAATGTTAAATGATCTCAACATCCTTGTACATTTCTAGCACAGTATTTTTATTTGTCTTTTTGTGTGTGGACCCTCTGAATATTTACGTTTTTATCACGTTTTAACAAGCTGTTTTAATGTTTTGCCAACTTGAAGTTGCAGCCAAAAGAAGCCTCTTCAGTCCGATCTTTGCAAACATGAAATTGGTTTAAAAGCTTAACATTTGAAACATGGTGATAAACACAACAATCCACCATCCATTTTACCTCTGCTCAGATGAGTCTCTACTCCATGCCATCCCCGTTTCAGCCTTCCAGATTACAACATAAACGGAAACATCACTTTAAAACTAGTCTAGAAATTAAGTAAATAACAGACCGCCTTTCTTGTTAAAATGTGTCTGATGAAATTTAGCTGTGATCATAAGGGAATGGTTTTAGACCAGTTACTTTTGCTATAAATGATCTCCTGCCGTCAAATTTGGTATTTCCCGTCTTCGAATTTTGTCTAGTTTTGCAGAAATGCCTTCATCTTATCCTCTGCTCGTCTGCGCTAACGGAGGATCTTGAATTGGCTGCCGGGGCCTTGCAATCCCCTGCTGTGAGAAATCAGCTGAAAAGTATTAACATAAACAGTTTCTGTTCAAATGCTGCCAGAGGAGTTTGCTCAGTTTGGGAGTTCCTCATGATTCCTGTTGTTGCTTATTGCTACAAAAAGTTGTAGAATCTCATTTAATATTTTTGTTTTCTGAAGTACTTGGCATTTGTTACGTATCAAAAAATAAAAAAAGATTTAATATTCTTAAGACACATTTGGATGTGATAAAGAGTTAAATTATATTTGAAAAGATACATTTGATTTTTGTGGCTGTTTTGCACCTCTTCTGCTTGAACTGTGACTGCATTTCTACCAAATGTGATTCTGACCATCAACTGCATTTTGACTTAGATGGAGCTTATTCAAAGAAAATCATGAGGTAACATGTTAACTTTAATGACATTACAGATAATTTCATTTCATTCCTGTAATGCTAGCATTAGGGCTCCAACACAATCTGGAAAATGTCTGGCATTTCCTTGGACTGTTTTTCATTTCTGGGAAAATATAAAAAATACAAAACTGAAAATATTTTTTTTTCTGTTTTTTTCCCCCCCTTAGTTTTCTTAATTTTAAATTGACTTGTAATTAAATATTCTTCAGTTTGAATTGTCAAAATCAAACCATGATTTTTAACACTTTGTTTTTCGACCTAATGTCCAAACGCAAACTCATTGAAAAATCAACAAAACATTTTATTTTTAAACTTCAAGCCAAACTGGACCTGTGCTCCTTAGAGTTATTAATATACCATACTGCTAATAAAGCACTGCAATAATTTGGAAATTTTACTGGCAAAATAAAGAAGATCAAAGTTCACAAAAATGAGTCTTCACAAATTATTCTCAGAAATGTCCATAATATCCAAAATGTTACGGAAAAGCAGAGTCAACTCTCAAACTCTCGATATTTGAGTCTGTAAATAAAAGTTTGAAATGATAAATATGTGGAAGTTCTACCACAGATAATACAGAAGGTCTTGGAAAAGAAGTAGGTCTAATTGAATACCAGAATTTATTTATTCTTTTGGCAGTAAATGCATTTCTAAAACCCTTTGCTGATTTGTCTGAGGTGCTCCTTTGATTATATTGTGTAGTATTTTTGTAGTTTTTTAAAAGAGAAGATGGAGGGAAGAAGGGCAATGGATATAAAAGAGGAAGTTTAAATATCAGGACATGTGGAATTTGAGAATATGCAGGAAAACGAATTAAGGAAAACGAATTAATGTGGAATTTGAGAATATGCAGGAAAACGAATTAAACATCTCAGAGCTTCTCTACTCACCTTTCAAATTATTCTGCAGGCTCAGCCCTCAGACGGAGTGGCAGGAGTAAAGGTTGAGGGGATTGTCATGCTTGCTAAAAACAGCCGCTACAAACCTGGACAAGTTGCTAAGAATGATCCCTGTAATCCCTGAATAATAAACTGTTAGCTGAACGTCTTTGTTCCCGTTGTCATCGAGCATAGCTCCGCCTGCGGTACCTGCCAGCGCTGCACGTGATGTCATCCCCTGAGCTGTTACCAGGCTAACATAACACAACACTGACATCAGGATGCGCTTGCAAATATTCAACCGCTCCTTTCTCTGCCTCACACAGACGGCTAATTTTTATTTTGTGGAATTTTATTTAATCAGTTTCAGTTTTATTTGAAACAGCATGACTTCCTTTCTGACATGTCTAAAAGTATTAACATCAAAAGTACAGGTACAGCAAATCAGAAAAAACTGACTACAAATGTATGTGTTTTAAACCCTGCAATATGAAAAATTACATAAGTCTAATCTGAATAGCACCGTCGGTTGTGCTATTGACATGATGTTTACAATTAACCAGCACTGATCATGTTTTTTTTAAAAAAAATAAATGTTACAAGTTTAATCTTGTTAGACCTGCACAATATTAAAGTATCGTGCAGGTATTCACCATCATATTATTGGCAAATAATATGATGACTGTAGCCTATTTCCTGTCCTTATCTGTGCTTCCAGCTCTCTGTGACATTTAGCATTTCGGGCGACGTCATTAGTGTTCAGTGTGAACATCTGCTGCCCTGAGACTCTGTCCAACTCGCTCAATATTACCTTAGCATGAAACACGCAGGTTCAAAACACTTGGAATATATTCACCGACAGTTACTGCGCTCCAAAAACTCCCTTAGGACTGATGGGATTAATTGGGATTAAAGGATGAATCGGGATTAATCGATTATTGAAATAATCTCCAACTAATGTAGTGATTGATCAATCATAAACTGAAGTATACAGACTCAAAAAAAGCCATTTGCTGAAAGAGCAGCATACTCAGAGCAGTAATTAAGTGAAAATGTACAGAAAATATCCACATTTACCCTTAAAATGAAAAAACAAAAAAACAAACCTAGATCTGTAAATATGTTCTACCCTGAACTCAAGCAGAATAGTTTTAGCTTCACCTGGTTCTGATTCTGTAAAAAAAACAGGACCTATTAAACACCTTTTGTCATTCAATTATTAATCTAAGTAATCAACAGATGAGCCCTACCTTGTATTGATGTTCAGTCAAGCAGAAAGGCCTGAGCTTTTTTTCTTAAGCTGCAGAGCTATCCTTTGCAGCAAATGATCAAGCATTCACTAAATGAATGTTTTTTTTGTGCATTTTAGGCAATAAGATGTTCTTGTTTATTTGCATATTTTAATATATTTCTAATATAAAAATCTGCAGAATGATAAATTATCAACTAATAGTTAGTTGCAGCCCCACACTGAATTGCGACGTAAATGTTGCACACTGATTGTAGTAGTGATATATTTTAAAGTCCAAGTTAAGTCATGAAATCTTGGAATAGCTTGTTAGACCTGCATGTCACTGCAAGATGCATGATTTAACCAGTGAGGTGGCCTCAAGACTCCTGCTATTCAGAGCCAAATGGCACACACTCCGACTTGAATATGCTGAAGCTGCCACACACCAACAAACACACACTTGTGAGCAGATTTAGTCAAGTGAAGCAAAAGAATTCCCACAACAAAGTGGGGATTCCTCATCCTCCCAATTGTTCCCGCCAGACCCCTCTCTAACAGACTGCAGTGTCATCCTGCCCAGATTCTCTTTTTTCTTTTTCCTTTTTCTTACCCCTACATTCCTGTCTTCATAACTTTTGGCCTTTCTACACGGATCATCTATTTAAAGAGCGGCATGGCGGTGTGCCGAGAGAGACAGCGAGACAGGTTGTTGCTGGCTGGTTTCTGCGCAACATGGCTAACACACGCGCACACACACATAGTGGAGGACAGTTTGCAAGATGACTCTAGTTGGCTTGTTTACGACAGAAGCTCCGTTTGGAGGAGGCAGGCGGTTAGGCGAGCAGCAGGGATAAAAATGTAGAAGGGGTTTACTGCCCTCGAGAGAGTCGGAATTCCTCCTGAGCCGTTCCCCCATTTGGCTGGCAGTTGTGAAAACAATTGCTTGGCATTTACTCTCTCTGTGCAGATGGAGTCCCAGCTATGAGTCAGCTTTGAGAGCAGCAAGTGGTGGAGAAAGTGGTGGGCTTGTGATCTCTAGCGTACAGAATATGAGGATACTTCATAAAAATGGTTGGGTGACGTTGTGGAAACTGCAAAGGAGCTTTCCTTGTTTTTTTTTTCGTATGCTGCTGTGTGGCAGATGAACGGTTTCTTTCTCTCTGCTTTAACGTACTCCATGAAATAAACCTTTGGCTAATAAAAGCACGTCTCTCTCCTCTTTGTTTCTCCAGGGACTCACAGAAGACGCTATGCTGACGTCCTAAGCTGTCCTCATTTCATCTCTCTTCCAAGTCAGTTCCAACACTTGGACTGTTTTCACCATCGTTAACCACTTCCTCTGGCTTTTTTTTTTTTTTTTTTCTTTTTTTTTTTTTTCTTTTAACATATATACCCCAGTTCCCTCTTGCCCGGCCTGCCGTCACCATGACGTCGGAGCTGGAGAGCAGCCTGACCTCCATGGACTGGCTCCCTCAGCTGACCATGCAGGCGGCCATCCGCAAGACGGACGCCCAGAATGCCCACGGGCCCGGCATGGGCAAGAAGAGCACCTTACTGGATCACACCACCACGCTGGATCAGGAGGAGGTGCAGCAGCACAAGGACGGCAAGCCTCCGTACAGCTACGCCAGCCTCATCACATTCGCCATCAACAGCTCGCCAAAGAAGAAGATGACGCTGAGCGAGATCTACCAGTGGATCTGTGATAACTTCCCCTACTACAGGGAGGCAGGCAGCGGCTGGAAGGTAAGGAACAAGAAACGTGCACCGTCATTTTTGATTTATGGACAGAGTTTTTTTCTGTTTGAGCTTTCCTGTCGCTGCAAACGTTACCTTGCATATGTGTTTGTACCCTTTTCACATTTTGTCATGTCAGCGCCACATATTTCAGTGTATTTTATTTGCATTTTATTTGATAAATCAACAGCCAGAGCTCCAGTGAACTAGGTTAGTTTAAAGTTTAGTCAGGTATCGGAAAAGCCTAGTTAAAGTCCAGATCTTAATCCCACTGAGGATCTGTGGAAGATTGAAGATGGTCACCATTCTGCCTGACAGAGCTTGATCTGTTTTGTGAAGAAAGAAGGAGAAAACTTTCCGTGTCTAGATGTCCAAATCTGGTCCTCCAATGGAGTTTCTACAATGTGTTCAATCCCAGAGGCCACAAACACACATCCTATTTCATTTCATCTTTTTTTTTTTTTTTACTCATGAAAAAAATGAAAACAATCCCACAGTTTCCTCCTGCCCAGAATGCTCTATAAATGGGGGTCTGAATACTTTTGCTTGGTCTTGATCAACAATCAAAAGGGTGCAGAAGTTTTTATGTAACAAAAGGTTGCTTTTGTTTCAAGTGGACAGTAAAGGGTAAAGACATAAATCAATGATCTAGATATTTGTTGCTGTCTGGTGCTTTTTGCTGTCATTTCCTTTGATTTGTTGACAATAATGGCCTATAACTTCCTGTTTTTACTGCTGTTCAGGGATGAAATATCGACCTTTTTGTTTGCGTTGGAAGATATTTTGTTTTTCTTAACCTGTGGAAGTTATTTCTGATACCTGCATTTTGGTGAAACCGCTGTTGCCCGACTCAAATCGTTATGTTTTAGGTGCGGAAGCATCTTAAACAAAGTGTAGTTCCTCTGGTAATCACCATTGTCACATCCTAGGAAGCTTAGAGGGGGGAAAAAAAATAAAAATAGGAAAAACTGAGTGTGCCAAATCACACTAAGTGCCTCACTCTGAATGAAAAACAGTGCAGCCCTGAGAGAACCATATGAAGTGTAAAACCCTGGATTAATATTCAGACAAGTGGCCCCTATCTGTGCGAACACAGACTAAATAGCCCATTCATGGGTGGTATTATTCATTGCAGATGCTTTGATAGGAGAAGGCCATTATGCAGAAGGAGAAAGCCAGTGCTGTGTCATCATCTCAAGGAGCCCATGATATACCGAGATGAAGCTATGCTGATTGCCTTTTAAAGGCCCCAGATGGAAATTGATATTAGAATGAGTTTTCCAATCAGTCGACGTTTATTGGAAATAGAATCTTAGGCACTGCTTTATTGCAGTCAGACAAGATGTATGAAACCCATTTCCTTGGGCGACAAGATCTGGCGCGTGGACCTGTGTGTGCGTGCATGTGTGTGCATGTGAATGAATGTAGGTGAGGCAGAGATGAGAAAGCATGTGTTGTTATAGATGGATTGATTTTAGCTTTTGTGAAAATGCACGTTGTAAGGAAATTAATTGTTTCATTTTGCAGCCGTTGTTTCCTCTTTTGCCTTCATCATTACTTATTTAGTTGTCAGTAACCCGGCGGCATACGTGCAGTCTTGATTTGAGTTGCAGCCATTTTCACCCAACACTGATTTCAGCTCTGTGCTTTGTGTGCCACCCACCTTTGTGTGCAGTGGCTTGTTACATTCAGTGCTAAATGGTTTTCTGTAGACCTTGGCTTTAGGGTTGCAGTGTTATATTCAACTTTTGTTGTTGGACAAATCCAGATGCAGCACGTCTGACCCTTATTGATCAAGCTTTACAAATAAATGTACTTTTTATCAAGATTACAGCTTCCATAGTCTGGACAGTAGTGTGCTCTTCAAAGTATTCAGGTTATTTCTCAGAGGATAAAATATAAAGCTTAGACTTACTTGTTATTGGCCAAATCCACAACAGTGAATTTGGCCACAAAATATCCTTACTTGGCTGCTGGAGTACACATAAAAATTGCTGAAAAACTATAGAAGTGTGACTAGAAATATATATATAGATATTTGAAAGTGTTACTAGTAGAAGTAAGAGAAAAATGTATATTTATATTGTTAAATACAGAGCTATGGACAAATTTGAGAGACCACTTAAAATGATCAGTTCTCTGATTTTACTCTTCATAGCTATATGTTTGAGTAAAATGAACATTGTTCTGTTATTTTATGAACTACTGACATGACTCTGAAGTTCCGAGCAAAAATGTTGTATTTATTTAAACGACAAATTGACAAATTGCTTTCAGATATCAAATAATGCAAAGAAGAAAAGTTGATATTAATTTAGGAACAACAATACTAATTCAGAAAGAGTTCAGAAATCAATATTTGATTGAAAACAAGGTTTTCAATGGGGTTCAGTGCAGTGGACTCTTAATTTTTTTCAGAATTGTATATAACTAAGCATTTTCAGACAGCCTTAGTAATGGAGTTGAGCAATCTGATGGCTATTGACACTTACACACCTAGCCACAAAGCTATTCATGGATACAGTTATTTATTAATTTTAGCGTCTACTAGTTTCAGAATTGGTGCACTGGTTGATCACTTGTTTATTATTCATCAATAATAAGCGCATAACTTTTCATTTGCATGAACTCATAAAATCAAACTTTATGTAGAAGTGAGGACGCACTGGAGAAAAGCCCAATTAGCAGATAAGACCTCAAAGACGACCAAAAACTGGTACTGACTATTGAAAGCGTTATTGTTGCACATCATTTGTGCAACTTTCTGCAACAAAATGAGCGAATTTCCTGGTTGCTGGGCAACATAGCCACTACATTTAGGTCTGAGCTAGCTACTGATTTCACAGGAAAGTTTGAGACAACAGCAAACAGAGTAACAGTGGAGGAAATCAAGATGATGTATATTCTTAGAAACTACAAAGAGTCAGTACAGTAGCCTGAGCGGTGGAGACGTTCAGCCAGTTCCATCTTCTTCTTTGCTTTCTCTGATTGAACCTGAGCTGAAATCATGGGGGCGCCACGCTACAAACAACTTGAGTATCACAACTTTAGCAACTGCTTTGTCATGTTTAATATTTTTAAGGTGATGTTTTGCATTTGAAATGCAATTGACAGCGATCGATATACACTCTTGACTGGTTGACATTTGGGTTTTCTACCATTGCATTCCTACCCACATATGTATAAAGTCAGATCACTTGAAATTCTTTGCATAGTTGGGTGTACAAATACAAAAAAAAGTAACGAGCTGACGTAACTGAAATCAGGTTTTTTTCTGGTAAAAGTGTAAGTCACAAAATTAGTCAGCGGCGGTGCAGTTTGACGCTCCTCCAGCGCTTTCAAGTTGAGTTATGGCTTGCAGAGATCGTCAGATTCTAGCCGACACGTGGGTTGCAAATGTAGAAATACCCCGCATATTAAAAGTGTGAAAAACCACATCACTCTAACCAGGATGCTGTACAGCTCAGGAAACTGAAAGAGCGGTAGGGGATGCGCTCGTAGGCTCCAGCCTGCGTCACCTTTTTTTTTTTTTTTTTAAATTCTTGTTAATGGCGTATTTTTCCTGTCGGTTATTCTGAGAAATCAAACGAGTAAAACCACGTGTTTAAAATATGAATTACCCTCCTCAACACAAGATATTTGAATGGAATCTATTATTAGATGTTTCATCCTCGAGGCCTTTGAATGGACTCCAATAGCCTTATGTTTTGTTTTTACCCCTTTTAAGCACTAAGATACGCTTCTCTCCAAATCATCTGGAAGTTACTTTTGCACAGCTGTAAAAGGTTCATGACATCATAACTTTCACAGCACCAAAATGATGTTATTCTGCAGCATGCATGCTGTATTAGCATTCTCCTTGCAGCTTTTCCCTGATATTACTCCACCGATAGCCTGACTGAGTATGCATGTTAGTGTGTGTAATTAGTTGAAAGCGAGCATGCCAGGATGGGGTGAATGTAGGTCGGATGTAGTCATCGCTCTTCTGTTCCCCTGGAGATGCCATTCGCAGCAATTTGAGACTCGGCGCACACACAGACACGCGCATGCATGCGTCAGTTCTGTATGATAATGCAAGCTGTTCCTGTGAGATGAGACCTGGCTAATCTGGACACCAGCAACCCATTTAATCTTCTCAACACAACTCCATTAGCCTCCGCTTTTAAGAAATATCAATAAGTGCCGTCAATAAAAACATATAATTTATCAAGGTCAAAAAAACGTTAACAGTGTTTTTTGTTAGTTTTTTTTCTTCTTTAAGAGCAATGAATATGCGCCCGGCATGTATGAGCAAGCAATTAGTGGCTGATTTTCCTCACACCCTCTGCAGCTCTCGGAGGCGCCTTTGACTGATGTTTGGTAAGTTTGTCTGAGCAGCCTCGTGCGTGATTCAGCTCATACGCTGCAGCTTCCTTCATGTGAGGCACGTTGTTTCTGAAAATCTGCCAGATTGCTTTAGCACTTCACATGCAAGGATCTCTAAATGCATGTTACCAAAAGGAGCATCTGCTTGCAGCCATTTCCTGTAATGCAATGTGGAAGGAGCGCTTTGTCACAATAAATATTTGTAGCGCTGTCTTTCCAACTTCAAAGCTGTTGCATACAATGGAAGCTGACCCAGAAAACTACTGAGATTAACTTTTAATCTCAGGAGCAGTCTCCAGCACAGGGTCAGAAAACTGTTCATATTCCTTCATGTCAGTATGTCTTAACATAAAAAAACATTTTAACTCTCGGTATGAATTGAGTAAACGAAGTAAGTGCTGCCTAAAGTTTCCAAATGAGTTGTCAGAAGTTTCAAATCTGGTCTTTGTCATCGGGAATGCAACGTTGCGTGTCAGAAATGGTTAATCAGCACTTTTGCAACACCTGGTAATGGGGCAAATGTTGCATAAAGGTTCTGCAAGTGAGGGGGGATCCACCGACACTTTGACTATAGCAGCATGCTTTATGAAGGGTAATATGGCAAAAAGCCTAACTGCATAAATGGATTTTATTCAGATGATTTC